TTTCCTGCTGTGGAATGCTTCAGGAAGATGGTTATGAGACTTCATAATAGTGGATCGTTCCGTGGTTCCAGTTCTGAAGGCCGGCCAAGTTCACGAGACCCAGAATTCGAGGCAGATGTTTTGGAACATTTTCTCGGCAATCCAAAGACAAGTACTCGTCGTGCTGCGGCAGCCTTTGGTGGTGTGAACCATATGAGTGTGTGGCGTGTGCTACGGGATGATGGCCAGCACCCATACCATTTTCAAAGAACGCAGGAGCTGTTACAAGCGGACTATGATCTACGTTTGGCATTTTGCCGCTGGTACCGCGACCAGGTTGGGAGGTCTCCCGACTTCGCTTCGTCGGTACTGTGGACAGACGAGGCGTCATTTACGCGTGCGGGCATTATCAATATGCATAATGAACATTTTTGGACTCATTTGAATCCCCGCGTATCAAGGGAATCAAATTTTCAACACCAGTGGCGTATTAACGTGTGGGCTGGTATAATAGGTTGTGCCGTCATCGGTCCAGTGTTTTTGCCGGCAAGTCTGAATGGGGCCAATTATTTAAGATTCCTAACAGAAGACTTGGGTGACGTTCTGATGGCCCTGCCAGTGACATAATACGTGAGACTCGTGATGGAACACGGGATGACTTTCTAGCACGATGGAGCACCCGCACATTTTGCTCGAAATGTACGTTCCCATCTGAACGACCGTCTCCCGCAGTGGATTGGGCGGGGAGGTCCTGTACCCTGGCCAGCGTGGTCCCCAGACTTGACACCGCTCGATTTTTTTTGTGGGGTCATATAAAAATATTGTTTATGCGGAGTCCTGTGAAAGCGCAGAAGAAATGAGGCAGCGGATCGAAATGGCGTTTAGTCAAATCACTCGGCAGATGCTTCAAAGAGTAGAGCAGTCTCTGTACCGACGCACGGAAATATGCATATTGCATGGAGGTCGGCATTTTGAACCTTACCTGTAAATGTGTGAAATGTGCCAGCAGTGCGTGTAGTGATAGTACTTATTATTCAAAATTATCGTAAACAAGTCAATATTTCGTACATTGTACAACAGTGAATTACAATTCGTAGGAAATTCATTAAAACGTGTATGAATTGCACAGTAGGTAAGTACCAATTAAAAAAGTATCCACTATTGTAAAATTGTCGTAAATAAATGTATTAATACAAAATTATGTAGAATGTGTATACGATGAAGGCGTGCGTAACTACGGGCTTAATAAGTAAATAAATATCCTTTAAATTGTATGTAAATAAGTACGTACCTAGGTATGGTATAAAATAATATTGTTAGAAATAATTCGATTTTTCTAGGTATTTAAAGATTTTGTTACTTAATATTAACGTGTTATCAACATATTCAAATCATGTTTTTACAGTGGCATTTCAATTGTAGTCAGCTGTTCTTTCGCCCCGCTTGCGGCCGCCCAGGTTTCATTAATGAATTTGTGAAGTCGTAGTAACGTAACTAGCAATAGAGTTGTGACGCAGTGGTTGTTTCGGACAATCACTATTTATACAAACATAATTAAAGTTATATCAACATTAAAAGTCACTTATTTTTATTTGATATTTTGCACAGAGGGTCTAGATCAAGTATAGGTTTGGCTCCTTTAATATGACTACACCTTGCGGTTACACCCTGTATAGCACAGACAAGCACTTCTAAATAAAATTATCTGCGCACTATTAAAGCACCATTTGTATTACGAGTGCAACGCGAGCGCAACGTTCCAACTAAGACAGACTGTATAAAGTAATATCATGGAAAGATGGGTAAATTTAATTTCAGCGTAAGACGCACAATTCATGTTGTGTGTTATTTTTTGCAAAATTCACAAATTTTGCAAAGTTATAAACAACATTTTCTTTTATTAAAACAAAACGTACTCACAATAATCGTACAATAATCATAATTGAACTGAACACACCTCCCTACTTACACCGCCATAGAACCGCCACGATGCACCTGGTATTTATGTCTTTTTGAAATAAGCATGCAAATTTGTACGTTCTAGTGAAACATGTTGTCGTCAATCAGCCTGCGAAACAAGAGACGGTGTCAACGACAGTTGTGCGATGAAGCCAAACGCGTTTTGTGCATCGAGAGCGATTCGTTTCATTAATGGTAAAGCCGCTCGCGCTCGGGCCTTCCCAAATAATACGAGACTACATTGTACCAAGGACAGGAGTATAATTGTGAGTGACCTGAGTCAAATGTATGTTCAAAAAGAGCAACCCCTAGAATTTCTTGCTCACTCTTCTCAGGGGAATCTCTGCCTTACGAATGAGCGGTATAATTTAATCAAACGATTTCAAGTACAATTTGCTTACTTATGAAATAAAGATGATTTGAATTTTGACTGTGAGACCAGAGCGACGGCAAGGGATTGTAGTCGCGGAATTTCGGGACGTAGAAGTTCAAAAGGTCTATTTCTCCTAACAAAGATCTTCGCCCGCATGCACGGGCTGAGATTGGGCTCTCGCGGGATGAGTTCTCTAGTTCGTGGTTGTTTGATTGTCTCATAACCAGCTATAGATATAAACTAGTCAATTTATCATACAAGTTTCATTACTTCTCGCAACTTTACTCCCGTGAGGCGGTCGCCGGGTCGGTCGCATGTGACGTCTTGTCATGATGTGCGTTTCAATATTTTTAATTTTGACGTCGTTCCTTCCTTGTAGGTACAGTGATAGAGCATAAAAGGCATAGGCGGGACGCAGGGCGAGGGTTGATAATAACCGGCAGTGTCCGCAACGTCGCCTCGTGATTGATGGTGGCGGGGGGCGCGGGGACACGAGGAGACAAGGCAGCTTTTAATCAACGGCGCGCAGAATGCCCGCGAGCGCTTTTAATACTTTCACATCGAGTCGAGCCGGAGCGGCACAAACACAGCAACGCCGGCTGGTGATTGCGAGGGCGCAGGGGGCGCGGGCGACCTCCGCGCGGAACAAGTCGTGTCGCCGCTGGCGCATGTACGCGCGAAGGCAGAACACTGCGCATTACGCTATGCCGCCGACGGACACTTGCGGCCGCTATGAGAGAACGGTCACCTGTCGCGCCTCTCACCTACCTCTAATAACCACTCGCAAAAACACGTACACACAATATCGTATAATAGGACGTGGTATTTTATCCTTTTCTATCGAATGCGCTTATAATTCTCGCTGTTACATGAGATTTGTGATGATTCTGGTGGTCCAGTGTTACAAATCATTACCTATTTGTTATTTAAGTACAACAGTAATACTCGTAATTATTAAAGAAACATTCAACACTTAGAACAAAAGTGTTCGAACCGACGTCTCCTAGCAAACTGTGCCAGTCGCTATGCCAACTAAGCCACGGAACGAACCAGCGAACCTCTCGATACAAAAGGTATTTGCTTTTCGACGACTTTTTAGCCGTGTACTAATAATTATAACAAACACTAGTTAAAACGCACTAGCGTTGAGTAATTTCACAAAAAATAATAAAATAATATCACGGTGGTGAAACATTCTGACATTCAATAAAAAAAAAATTACAGCTGTAATTCTAAACGTACTGTCGACGACGCGGACGTGAAGATTCCCTTGGACTAAACAATGTTAAATACCATCTACCGTAAAATTTGAGAGCGCGTCTGCGATTGCCGTCACAAAAATACGCACACCTAGTGTAGCCAGTGGCCACTGACCCTCACAACGAGTGAATACTAAATAAAACATGCCCACAATGTGCACGCCTTGGCTATTACTGGTGCAACATGTCGGCAACGACATTTGTGAGAACAAGGCCGAAGCCACCTGGAATACGCATCGCAGGAGCCCTTATCTATATTTCTCGAAATGAAAATGTGCAAAGAAGATTTATTAAGTTTTTATGTTTTCGAACTAGGGAACGGTACGAGTCAAATAATTATCTCGAAATATGCAAGAAACGTCATCTTTTGCCCCATCCTGGAAGTGCGATGTCAAATTTGCAGACCTTGTATTTTTACACAAAATTGATTCTGATGCTACGGATTCCCCGGAACTCGTGTCCAAGATTTCGCTTAGAGTCCCTACAAAGACCCTTAGGTTTAACTCACTTCCGTGCGTACCTCCGGCCCTTTTCGAACTTTCGGCGGAATGCAACCTCTTACGTGCGAGTAACAGCTAAGCAGGTTGATATTGACCTTTTTAACTCTAGTATTGCATCGGTAAAGCGTCTTATTAATAATTTATTTTACGAGGCGAGTACATACGTGTTTTATTTTATTGGTATTGCGAATTTGATATAGTATATTAAATGGTTATATATACTTAGTTATAATTTAAGGCTCATTCATTTCAACTTAATGTGTGTCTACTGGTGTGGACCTACAGTTGGCTCTCCATCTTTATGTGAGTTTTTGTTCTGTAAGATGACCGTTGGTCTTCCATTAATTAAAATAAAAAAATAAAAATGAAATAAATTGTTGATGTAAAGTTGCGAGTTTCCACACCGCGTTTGAGTGTTGAAGCATTAAACTCCATTGAAACTTGCCCCCTTGGCGGTGTCCACTCACTCTCCGCCACTTGCAAGCAATTCAAAGTACGATAGTTCGTAGCAGGAAAGTTGCCATATGCCGAGTAATCGAACTATGCATTGCTGGCTGGCGCACCCACAAGCGGAGAGTGCACGAGTGCAGCAGGGGAGCCGCGGGAGCGCACGCTGTGAATCAATTTTAGTACGAGCGCGAGGCCGCAGGACGCGGGGCAATTAGCCGCCGGCGCGGGCGCGGGGCGAAGGACGCACGCCGGCCGGCCTAGGGCGACCCATAAATAGCTGCCCTCGTTTCGCAAACATAGATAAATTACCGTAGCTGCGGCCATCTATACGAATAAGTGATACTTAATGCATCTCGGTGTACTGTTTCTCGATTAAACCCACTTCTGCTAATGAGCCGCCTACCTGCGAGTAAGCACCTCCCGAGTGGCACAACACGCCACGAATCGTTGCGTCATCGAGGACGCGACGAGTGAGTGTCAATGGGGCCGAAAGGCGCGCGCCGAATGTTGCAAAAGCGCGCGACGACGCGACGCGCCGTGAGTCACGGTGACATCACGAGCCACGTTCTCGGCCGAATGCGGCACGCACCTGGCGCCCGTGTCGCGTCATCGTCGTTGTCGTGCTAGGAGTTGAGATGAAATGGAGAATGTGGTTGTTGAAACAGCATCGTAAGTTGTAACGAATTACAGCCGTGAGGAGAATTGGAATAACTCGATTGTGACTATTTCCGCGACCTCAGGAATCGAAGTATACACGACTGCATTTATAGAGTACATTGTGTAGAGAATGCATATGCGCGCCCCGCGTCCCGCGTCTTGTCCCCGCGCCCGTTGGCAGCGGGTGACGTCAGCGGTGGCCCAGTTCGTCGGCCCGACACACTAGAAAATCATACTTTCATGCGTCATCATTATTATATTCTATATTAAGTTTTTCATTAATGCCAATGAGGCACACACGACCAGACGTAATTGAAATTCCCCCGATTTTTTTTTTTTCATGATGTAAATCTGTTGGACGAACTTTCATATGTGTATGGGACGCAAAGTCGCCATGACAAGTCCCATGTGCTTTCAATCCGGAACGCAGTATCTAATGCTCACATTTTTTTTTGCTTGGTTGCAGCCATTGGTAAGGTTATCGATAAGGCAGTACTTCCCTGGACGAACTCTTTCACAAGGAGCTCTCCTACCACTACTGCTAACTAGCAGAACGAGATTCGACTCAGCTTCGCACGCTCCAATTCTGATAATTATCAACGTACGTGTAATAGAGATGCGGCGGCACTCATTCATGCAGCGGTCGCGGGGGCGGGCGGCGCTTGGCTCGCGGCCAAAGCGGGAGGGCGGCGAGAAGGGTCAACGACATTTGCATCCATAAATTCCTCAAATTCTATCATTTTTCCAAACCTTTTTTACACGCGAACACGACGCTTCCCAATTTCCAATAATGAAGGTTGGATCATACGGTCGCGGGATTTCCCGCAACAATCTCCTATGGCGCAGTTAAATAAATCTGAATTTCGGGAACGACGCCGTGGAACCACAGCGGCCGGTCCTATTAGGGTCATAATCACGATAAAGTGGAACGATTTATTAGCATGACGGCAGCAAGGGTCGCGAACGGGATTAGGGCGCCCGGCGAATTAATTATCACGGTCGTCGACCGGCGTCGCGGCGCCCGCCCCTCTGCGCGTCCCTCCCCCTATGCCGCCACCGCCGAAGTGCACTGTGCAGCTCTTTGGCGTCATCGCCCTTCTACTACCCTACTTCGCACGAGCAACCTGTTCCCGCGATGTCGCCTTGCTTACTTCCGTAGACAATGATGTCATCTCGCCGCATATCAAAACAAGAACGTCGCGGTGACATGGAAACTGGCGCACGTCTCCCCTAGTCGTGGAATTGCTATAGCTAAATCGGAGATTTCACCCCAAACTAATTTAAGGTTATTATATATTGAAGGACTCTGTGGCAGTAAACCGTGCACGTTGGACGTAATTACGGGCTCTTAAATCTCGACTTCAGCAATCGTCGCACATTCGTATGGAAATAGACATAGATGTTAACAATTGTAACCCATTGTTGAACGCCTTCTGCCAGTTGCCAGTGCGGCGCAGGAGTTCACCTTAACTAGATCATTAACTTCTTCGGTTTGGTTTCAACTCCATATCTGTCAACTACGTGTACGTGAGGTTAGATAAATAGATGGTTGTGCGTGCAGGTACCAGAGCACGATGGATCGGATACAGTGTCAGTAGGTAACTCTTAAATCAATTAAGTAGAGCTAATTGTTTTTAACACGGTGTAGTTGCCGAGTGATCAAGTTGGGGAGGGTAGTGGCAAGGGGGAGTTGTAACCGCGATGATTGATGACGGCAATAACGAGCCGCAGGTCGGAGGTCGCAAGAGGCGCGGGGCGGGGCGGGCCGAGGGCGCGGGGGACTGTGCTCTCACTGGGAACAGGCATTACTTTATTGAAACCCGCCCCGATACGCAACGCCAGCACCTGAGGTTATACACTTCTGTGTTCCAAGTTTGAACCGAGCACACATACCAGTGCAAATGATATTACATACTATGGCATAATTGTTACTCCACACTTAATTTTTTTTTGCTACTAGCTTTTAAGAAAATTATCGTAATAATAATGTTTTATTTTCGTTTATGGAGGGAAGTTAAAATAGTACAATGTTTGCAGCGCGGGAAGTGGGCTATGCAAGACGAGTTGACACTTTAAGCGCGAGAAATTGACGATCTGCCGTCGCCCAAACTTTTTCAATACATGTAATTTTCAGTCGCATTATATTTGTCTCTGAATTTCGGCGGCAAACGCCGTCTTTAGCAACTTGCACTGCACAACAACTGCACTCGAAACAACAGTCGGAGTTAATTTAGTTCCATGACAATATTATTTGATGGCCACATCACTTGATTTTGTATCCATTTATTATAAAGAGATACTGTTGATATGTGATAACGTTTCGTAGCAATATTACAATAATATCGGAAACTACTTGCTGGTAAATTGTTCACATGAACTACAAGAAACACTTACGTACATTTCACGCCCTTTTCCCACGGGTAGGCAGAGACCATAGCCTGCCATTTGCTACTATTCTGACGCACTTCTTTCTCCTGAATAACACACGTCAATGCTTTCATGCACGCTCGTTCTTTTATAATAATAATTCATATACTACGCAATTTCAATAATTCTTAGCACTGGGGCGGGCAAGTGCCAATCGCCGCTGGATACCTATGATAAGCATCATCAGACTTTTCACTCAGATGTGGGAACATCTTGAATAGAGAATCAGACTGAAAGAAAAGATGTTTAATTGCTAGTATCTAAAATATGTATATTTATTTTAGGGTATTTGTATTGTTGTTGTTTTTTTTATTATAACTCGAGACGTTATTGATCTCATTAGATGTGAATTAGACTTTTGTTATATAAAACACAAGTACGGCCCCATATGGAGTATTGCTCGCATCTCTGGGCAGGGGCTCCCAAATACCAGTTTAACCCACTTAACTCCATCCAACGTAGGGCTGTTCATATTATCGACGATCCCAAACTCGTAGACGGTGTGGAGCCCCCTAGCCTACGGAGATACGTTGGCTCTCTCTGTGTGTTCTACCGTCTTTATTATGGAGAATGCTCTGAGGAACTTTTGGAACTGGTGCCACCATCTCGTTTCTACCGTCGCACTTCCCGCCAAAGCAGTAGAGTCCATCCCCACATCTTAGATGCCTGGCATTGTAAGACCACGCGGGCATCTCGTTCGTTTCTTCCTCGAACCTGCAAGGTATGGAATGATCTACCTCCTAACGTGTTTCCTTTGCGCTATGAGATGAGGTTCTTCAAAAAGCGTGTTCACAGGACTCTCAAAGGCTGGCAACGCATAGGCAACTCATCTGATGTTGCAAATGTCCATGGGCGACGATGACCACCTCCCATCAAGTGGCTCGTCTGCTCGTTTGGCTCCTTCTTTACATTAAAAAAAATGCCCTACTTTGAGGCGTTCCATGAAGCTTTGGGTCAGTTGGGGTTGGTTGGATCTGTTGGCTACTGAAGACGTAGACGTAGCCACAGAATTGTTTTATAAACATTTGTACGAGTGAAAAAAAATATATATATTCGAGATCTTTAAAAAAATATGTATATCCTTGGTACACTCTCGAAATAATACAAAATATTGAGAATAAACATTTTCATTGAAAACTAATAACAATAATAATAACACACACACTCAACATAGCCTCGCACTAGGGAAACCCTGTGTTGCGGGTGCCATGGACACACATAGACAACCACAAATTACACACAAACTCAGGAGAGAAATAAATGTAGGACAAAAAGTAGACAAATATTTCTCCCAGCCCGGGAATCGAACCTGGGACCTCTGCGTAGCAGTCCGGTAACATGATAACCGTTCGGCCACGGAGGCAGTTAACTGTTTAAAAAACTGTTTTGAATCCAGTAGTTTATATTGAGCAATGTTCAAATATTACAGAGGTCATGTAAAATTTTTAATAGACAATGCACACAGGCAGCACATGTAATAACATGTAATGTAAAAAAATATAATTGACGATCCTATTAAATTCTGGGAATACATTAAAGACAAGAAAACGCAGCGCCGACGGGATGAGTCCTTTATGCACAACGGCAAACAGGGGTGTGGGCAGGCGGCCGCGGATAAAAAGACTTAAAAACGCACTCAGCTGGGGGCCTGGACGGGATTCCGGTTTTCATAATGAAAGATTGTATATCTGCGCTTACTACGCCACTGCTTTATTCCTATAATCTTTCGCTAACTCATTCGACTTTCCCGGAACAAGGGAAATGCTAGTGAGTGACACATATCCCGAAACCAGGAGTTGATTGTAACATCACAATTTTAGGCCTATTGCAGTACTACCGGTTTGTGGAAAAATATTTGAAACAATAATATATTCTTTATTGCACCAAACAAATAAACAGAAACAAAAAAAAATAACATAAGATGAGCAAAGGTGGACTTATCTCTAAAAGAGATCTCTTCCAGCCAACCCAAGGCAGTGTGAGCAAAGGTTTTAAGCGGGGAACGGCGTGCAAAAGAGATAACAAAAGATGATCTACATGTATAAAATATGCAATGTATAAAATTACCGTTAAATAATTAAAATAGTATATAAATAAATAGACTACATAACGTATAATACATTGTATCAATAAACTTACACATATACAAATATGATTATTATTAAGAGAGTTCAGCAAGAAAGTGCGCTGTCAACCTTTTCTTGAAGGAAGCAATTGACGGACTAGACTGAATATGGGAAGGGAGTCTGTTCCACAGCTGCGCTGCACGAGAGGAAAAGGAGTTGTAAAAGAAATTTGTTTTACAACTAGGACGAACGAGCATCTTAGTGATGCACGGACGCCTTGAGCGGCTAGGAGGGGGAAGCAGTTGGAACCGGGAACGTAGGTAGGAAGGGGAATTTGGGTCATGAAGTATATTAAAAAGGGTGGACAGGATATGCACATCACGGCGAAGGCGGATTGGGAGCCATTTTAACCGAGCACGAAATTCGGAAACGTGATCAAATTTTCGGAGACCGAAAATAAATCTGATAGCCAGGTTCTGTAGACGCTCTAGTTTGTTTAAAAGGTCTTCGGTCGCATCCAAGTAACAAACGTCGGCATAGTCAAGAATAGGGAGTAAAAGAGTTATATCACTTAAACTTCCATATAACGAGACAAATCCGTAACCTTTTTCATAACAGTCAACACGGTTTCCGCGTAGCTAGGTCGACAAATACCAACCACGTTCTCTTATTGATTACGTATGCACTGAAATGGATTTGGGAGAGCAAGTAGTTTGCCGCTTTTGGTTTTGTGAATAACGATATTCTATTACAAAACCTGGCAGCTTTAGGCTTCACGCCCAAACTTCTGCAGTTCTTTGCGAGTTAAGGCCCATTTAGATGGGGAGAGTTTCTCGCACGCTTCGAGACGAAAACTCGTAGGCGATTCTCGTAAGCAATAATCGCCATAAGATTATCGTATCATAATGTTTACATTCAGGCAAGAACTAAAATCTCGCCTACGATTATGTCATACGAGACTCGTAAGCAACTTAATCGCCTCCTCGACTGTTTACACGGAGAAATATGTAGTAAGGAGATTCTTGCTTACGAGTTTTCGACTTGTCTAAACACGATCTCGTATGACATTTTTTCAAGTTCATACGATTATCGTACAAATCGGTTCGAACCGTTTTGAGTGCGAGAATTGCCATTCGAGTTCAGTGATTACTGCGGTATTGACTATGGATATATCGAAATGACGCAAAAATCATTCAAATTTGGAACTGCTGATAATATTAAGTTCATTGCACTGTATAGAAATATAATTTTGATTTATCATTTTTTTTTAAATTATATAACTACTGACACAAACAAAACTGACAATTATGATAAATTTATAGGGCGAGTGAGTGCGTGTGTGAGTGCGTGAGTGACTGAGTGAGTGAGTGAGTGAGTGCGTGCGTGCGTGCGTGCGTGCGGGCGTGCGTGAGTGAGTGGTGAGTGGTGAGTGAGTGAGTGAGTGATGAGTGAGTGAGTGAGGGGTGAGTGAGTCAGTGAGTGGTGCGTGAGTGAGTGGTGAGTGAGTGAGTGAGTGATGAGTGAGTGAGTGAAGGGTGAGTGAGTCAGTGAGTGGTGAGTGAGTGAGTGAGTTGTGAGTGAGTGGGTGAGTGAGTGAGTGAGTGAGTGAGTGAGTGCGTGAGTGAGTGAGTGAGTGGTGAGTGAGTGAGTGAGTGAGTGGTGAGTGAGTGAGTGAGTGAGTAGGGAGTGAGTGAGTGGGGAGTTAGTGAGGAGTGTTTATTGAAAAGTACATTTACTTGAAAAGTCGTGTCGGCCATCTTGGATTTAGAAATAAATGCTATGTTCGTAATGAGCACCCCCAAATAGGTACCTCAAAAACTTGCCATTATTTGAAAAGTGCGGGCACGACTTTTCATCCTGGATTTAGAAAGGAGTGCCATATTCGTTACGAGAGCACCCTAAATACTATATTGCCCACGCTATATTCGACCACAGAGGCACTCACTCACTCACCGGTATTTGAAATTTTTCGCTCTTGTTCCATTAATTCTTGTCTTAGAAAAGCAGTGATAATCAAAACACCCTCGCGCGCTGCACTCGTGGTAGAAACGGCTGGCACAGAAACTCGAAATACGATTTTTGCTTTCGAGTTCTGTTTACACGGAGACGTTCAATATTGAAAGGCGAGGAGATTATCGCTCACATGGACGGTCGATAATCGCAAATGTTTAGACGAGGAAAGTTTTTTATATTCTTTCGATAATCGTATCTTCGAGACGATAAACTCTCTCCATCTAAATGGGCCTTAAGGCGAGTGAGTGCGTGAGTGACTGAGTGAGTGCGTGCGAGCGTGCGTGCGCGCGGGCGTGCATGCGTGCGTGCGTGAGTAAGTGGTGAGTGAGTGAGTGAGTGGTGTG